TGCTCTAGAGCAGAGTGCTATTTCTGGTAGTTAGGGCAGGATAGGGTACGCGGTGACCTGGTCTAATGGCCTGTTAAAGGACAGGAGGTTAGAGATCTAAAAAGATGTTACCAGCAGAGCTCTTTTGACAGCGAGTCATGTGACATTTACACTGCCACTTTGGCTCTAGCTCAGGTGTCGGGACAGCACAATGAATGGTCCCTATAGTAAATAGCAAGGGAAGGGATCTGTCTTGACCAGCCGGCAGGTAACTCACATCCCTGTCCCTCTTATGCTTCTTTCCCTGTTCATTCTGAAAGGAACCATTAAGCTCAAACGGGAACCCAGGGACCCAGCTCAGTATGTACTGCAAATGTCCAGGCAGAGTGGATATGCTCAAGATCTGATAGTGGAGATGAAGGACACATAGGCTGTGTCTAGACTGGCCAGCTTTTCCGGAAAATCAGCCACTTTGCGGAAAAACTTGCTGTCTACACTGGCCGCTTGAATTTCCGCAAGAACACTGACGATCTCATGTAAGATTGTCGGTGTTTTTGTGGAAATACTATGCTGCTCCTGTTCGGGCAAAAGTCCCTTTTGCGCAAAACTTTTGCACAAAAGGGCTAGTGTAGACAGCCCAGATTGGTTTTCTGCAAAAAAGCCTCGATCGCGAAAATGGTGATCGGGGCTTTTTTGCGGAAAAGCGCGTCTAGATTGGCCACGGATGCTTTTCTGCAAAAAGTGCTTTTGCGGAAAAGCGTCTGTGCCAATCTAGATGTTCTTTTCTGAAAATGCTTTTAACGGAAAACTTTTCCATTAAAAGCATTTCTGGAAAATCATGTCAGTCTAGACATAGCCTAAGGCCAAAGAATTCAGTGCATTGATTCCAGGGCTTCATAAGCTGGAGAAATAGTTGTTTACATTAAATCCCAACCTGCCCTCTGCAGCTGAACCGGAGCAGCGTCTGGCGGTGTAGGAAGCCCTGTTAGTCTGTAAGTTTAAAAGCAATGAGTAGTCCTGTGGCACCAGAGGCTATGTCTACACTGCGTCTACACTTCGGGGAACCGGAAGTATCCTGAAATAGCTATTCCGCATCTATTGAAGCATCCCGTTATTTCCAAATAGGCTTTGAAATAATGGGAGGCTTATTCCAACATCCCTGTAACTCTCGTTCCATGAGGGTCAAGGGATATTTCGGAACAGCGCTTTATTTCAAAACGAACTCGAAATAAGCTATGTTGTTTGCATAGCACAATTTGCATAGCTGGTTTCGCGGTTCGGGTGCTGTGTACACACACCCGTAGGCTTAGTCTACACTGCAGGGCTGTGTCTACACTGGCATGAATTTCCGGAACTGCTTAAAATGGAATACTATTCCGTTTTCAGTTTTTCCGGAAAAGGAGCGTCTACATTGGCAGGCTGCTTTTCCGGAAAAGCCCTTTTTCCGGAAAAGCCCTTTTTCTGGAAAAGCGCCCCTATCGCCATTTTCGCGATTGGGGCTTTTTTCCGGAAAAGACTACTGGGCTGTCTACACTGGCCCTTTTCTGGAACAGTGTTCCGGAATAAGGACTTATGCCCGAGCGGGAGCAGAATAGTTTTTCCGGAATAGCAGCTGATTTTGTACAGTAGAGCATCGTTGCT